ATCAATTGCTGTTCAGATATGCGAGAAATCATGACCGTCGAAAGCCTCGCTATAGATCTGAATGTTCTTCACTGTACTAGTCATTCGATAAAGGTGCATCAAGATATGTAATGGAGACATTGGAACTATTGATCTTAACTTACGTAACCATAAAAAATCCAGCCCATTCAACACATCATATTGTTACATCGACTAAAATAAATTGACTCTAGTCATTGGAGAAAATAATGTCAAAGTCAGAGCACGTTTAGAGTTCAGTCACTGCTTCTAATCTTCTAATATTATTTGGATATATATACATATACGTATATATTTGCCGTAACCTAGAAACTGATTAGTTGTGATTGTGAATTTGCTTTCGCTTCTTTGCGTACAGGATGCTAAAAGTATGTACGATCGAACAGTCCGGTCGATGGATTGCATTCCGGCTTTGAAGCGAAGAGAGGTTAGTTCGAGTATACCCTATACTCTATCTATCTATACTGCATCTATGGCCATAGTACACGATTCCAAGTCACCTACCTACTTTTGTCACTGTCAGTAAGTAAGGCAGCGTCAGTAACGCTAAGGTTAGGAAACTCTGCGGGTTGTATTCCTCACGTACTCGAACGCTTCTCTGTGCACTATTTCTGAGCCCTTTTCGAACAAGAGACAAAAGATCTGTCCTCGTTCTCCAGGTCCCTCAAACTGTTATTGGATGCATTTGTTTTGTCTCTTACTATTTTGATACTTGTTGTAAGTTTTTACTGACGGAATAACACGTGATCAAGGGCATTATCTGTATTCCAAGACCACGAATTCCGATTCCAAGACCCTTACTTATTGCGAATATCAACTTATTTCTTCACACTTCTCCCCAAACAGATATATGAATTCCGTGCACGGTTCAGTTCTTGATTAATTGTACAAGCATTCTCGCCCACATTAAGGATACACCTTTTGGTTTATGATGTTTTTCATTAAGAAAGAATAAAAGCTATTTTGTGATCTTTTGTATCCCGATTGACATATATATGTATACATATTCATTGTATAAGTTTGTAAATTGCCAAAAATTGAACCCTTGATTGGATAAAACGTTTCTCTACTGAACTCGGCGAATCATGAATCATTTTGTTAAGATCTGACCTTCTAAACATGGGTCGATTTCATCATGTAGATAGTCCACTGTTGATTGTACACGTTCGAAGCGATAGCAATTCGCATTCACCGCTCTGAACTGTACCGAAAACATTCGAACTACCCAAACCCCGAGGTTATCATATCCATGCGACATGACGCAATCCACTGCGGGGTTAGAAGACCAAATCAAAACTGAGTAAATAAAGTAATCGGTTTAATCAACTGATTACAATTTCAAAAGTTTGAATATTCCCATGATAGCGTTGAGAAAACGAGTCGGTGAGCGAACAATTATTTTCTGATATTTCTAGTCGTGCTCTCACGTATCATATAGTGGAAAAAATGGTTACGTAATGATAGCCATTGGCTCAATCTAGGGTCGTTAATCGGAGGCAGAGAGTAGGGGATGTATAAGTGTGCGTGTGTCCATGAGATGCGATACACAATATCGAAAGCTTTCTCCGGTTCGATCATGTGCCCAGTTTCGACGAGATGACCCAGGATCGCGCTTGAGATACAGCGGATTTTCCTCTGACTTAACCATCGCGAATGGTGCTCCCTAACGCGTTGAAACAAACGCCTTGCTGTGCGGCCTATGTAACATGCACCACAGACGCACTTAAAAGAGTAAATTATCATTGAGGAGGTCAGTTTGTCTTTCACTTGCATTCGCATCAGCGGTGGTGTGGAGAACACTGGTCTAAGTTTAGCTGCCCGGAAAGTGTAATGTACAGCCGCTCTCAGTGACTGTACTAGGCTTTCTGTGTGTGCATCCCCCTTAAATGGGATCCTTATGAATAGTTCAATTTTGGGGACACAGACGGTGTTTTCCGTCTCCGGAGTGTGCCGAATAGTCTTATCGATGAACTTTTCCGGATAACGATTTTCCTGCGGTGTTTAGTGGATGAAGCATACCTATTCATCCAGTGTGTCTGCTGAACAAATCTTCCGGGCTCTAAAGGCTAGACACCGGACTAGATTACTTTTATATTTCACAGGAACGAAACTACAAAGTAGGTATATTGATCATTTCATGTTTTCTTTCTGTGGATCTGTCTTCGTACTGATTCATTTTCTTTCCTGGACACGGCCACATCCAGAAAGGCCAATATATTGTTCGCTTCAATCTTTACAGTGAATTCCAGCGATGAATATGTTTCGTTAAACGATTTCAGTATCTGTAGGATGCCAATTTTGCGATCCGTCACACAGAAGATATCATCCATATATCTACTGTAGTGTGCTAATCCTTCAATACTTCGGCTTAGCTTGCTCCATTCCAGTTTAGCCACAAAGATATAAGCTAGTAACGGATCAAGTGGGAATCCCATTGCAACCCCGTCCATCTGACGATAGGTGGTACCGTTAAATAGAAACCGAACTTTACGTGTGCGCGTAATAACAGTTCCTTTAGATTGGTGACCGGAATACAAACGTTTACAGTCAGCGTCTCTATTTGATCACCGGTGAATTCCATTGTCTCCATTCGAGGTACATTTTTGAACAGTGAGATGACATCATTGGTAAACATCGTCTTTCCTTGCAGATCCAGGTCTTCTATTTTAGCTACAAACTGGAAACTGTCTCGGAGACTGTGCATGGTAACTCTACGACGGACGGGTTCTAGTAATTCGACCAACCACAGTGCCGTTGTGTGATATGGTGAATTCACCATTGCCATAATGGTGGGTCTTATTGGGCCTCCTTCTTTGTGGATCTTAAGGAGACCATACAATCGCGAGATGGTGAAACTACATGGTTTCAGTCTCTCAAATGCAGCATTATCTATGTGTCCCTGTACCTTTAGCATCCTGAACAGATCTGTGATTTCACCCTCCACCTTTCCTGTCTCATCCTTTTCTTTGTTTCATCTAGAGAACTTTTTGTCACCCGAAATTATTTCAGAGATCTTTCGAACATAATCATTTTTTGTTCATATTAACCACCCCGGTGCCTTTATCTGGTTTAAGCAGCACGATGTCTTTGTTCTTTTTGAGTTCCCTCAAAGTGTTTATATGCTAACGTGTAAGCGATCCGCGGTTGTGTATATGTATCTTTCGGTATTTATACTAGATTGAGCCAATGGCTGTCGTAATGAAACCATTTTTTCCACTAGATGATATGTATGAGTAGGACTAGGAATATCCGAAAATAATTGTTTGATTAGAATGTGATAACCTTATTGAAACTCCTGAATTTTGTTGCCATCTTGTGATCGATTAGGAGGGTGAGAAGCAATTAATTTTTCTGACAATGCTGGAAGCTTTTCAAACAGGATAAATAGACTTCCCGCCTGCTCGGGTGTAAACAAATGGTCACCAAAGCGAGAGAAGCAACGGTTAAATAACTAGGTAAAACACCGTAGCAAAATGTTTAATGCCTGATGTGCTCATCCACTCGAACCCGTTCATAGTTGTTTGTTGAATCAATCTAGGGAAAGTTCTCGTTAAAAACTACCCCAGGAAATTTTGTGTAGAAAACCGGAAGGAATATTGGAATTTGCTGGTAATTTGATCTGTGTTTGATCTATCTACCTTCAGATGATCACTCTCCCGATCGGTTCGGGCACATATCATTACAAAATGGACAGTCAGGCAGCCCATAAGGCGACCAATTCGTACTATTTTGCTCGTTACAGTCTCTGTTTGCGTACGGATGATTTTGCGGAGACTGTGAACCGGATGCTTGTGGTAAGTGTGTCTGTGATCTCTCATTTTTTAAATATATTTTATCTATTTTCTCTATTTATTGAATATACAAATGTACAGTCAATTTTCAGG